GTATGCAAGCTAATGAAGTCCTTATATGGTCTTAAACAAGCCAGCCGTCAGTGGAATGCCAAACTCACTTCTTTTTTGCTGAATCTCAATTTTATTCAAGCTTCCTCTGATCAATCTCTGTTTACACGCAAAACATCATCCTCATTTCTCGTGTTACTAGTTTATGTTGATGATGTGATTATTGCTGGAACTTCACTTACTGAGATTCAATCCATTAAGTCAGCTCTTCACCAAAGCTTTCGCATTAAGGATCTAGGACGCCTCAAGTACTTTCTTTGCCTTGAAGTGGCACATTCCACATCTGGTATTTCTCTTTTTCAACGAAAATGTTGTCTTGATCTCATTACTGACTCAGGCATGCTTGCATCCAAACCCGTTTCTACTCCTTCAGATCCTTCAGTGAAGATACACNAAGATACTAGTCCTCCTTATTCTGACATATCTGCCTATAGGAGGTTAGTTGGTAGATTGTTCTATCTGAATGCCACACGCCCTGATATCACCTTCATTACTCAACAACTTAGTCAATTCTTATAAGCACCTACCATTTCCCACTATAATGCTGCCTCCCGTGTCCTTAAATATCTCAAATCATGCCCTGATCGTGGCTTTTTTTTCCTAGGAATTCTTCATTACATTTGATTGGTTTTTCTGATGCTGACTGGGCCGGGTGCAAGGACACTATAAGATCAATCTCAGGGCAATGTTTTTTTATTGGCAAGTCATTGATTTCCTGTCGCACCAAGAAACAATTGACCATCTCTCGTTCTTCATCGGAAGCTGAGTATCGTGCTTTAGTTGCAGCTACTTGTGAATTACAATGGTTGCTATATCTATTTAGAGATTTACAAGTTACTTCTAGCATATTACCTGTTCTTTATTGCGATAATCAAAGCGCTATACACATTGCCAAAAATCCCATTTTTCATGAACAAATGAAGCACTTAGAAATTGATTGTCACTTGGTGCGTGAAAAGTTACATTCTGGGGTTATGAAGTTGTTACATGTCCCTTCAAAACACCAACTCGCTGATTTTTTTTACCAAGGCTCTCCTCCCTCAACCCTTCAATATCTTAATGTCCAAGTTGGGGATGCATGATATCTACCACACTCCAACTTGTGGGGGGATATTACACCAAGATAATTCTGAGGAGCAATGTGAAGGCATTACTGACACTAAGTCACCTAATTTGGCTTCTTAGTTTACTAGTTATCAGTTAATCACTTTTGTACTGTGTAAATAGCTTAGATTAAGTCTATCCCTGACTC